GAAGGACTTTGAAGCCAACGAATTGGAAAGTCAAAGCGGTAGGAGCCGGATGAAATTTCTTCATCTGATATAGTCCTACCGGCGTTTGTAAAGATATAGTCTAACGGTTTTGTATCTGCTACTTTTGTTCTTTGTTTTTCAACCTGAAACATTTAATATATGTAAAAATATACTGTTTTAAAAAATGTTTTAAAATGGTATGCCATTTCATATTTCTCATCTAACAAACAAGTTGTCTGACTGCTTGAGAGTTAGGTTGGTACCATTCGAACTTGACACTTGTAATTCCTTCAATTGCGTTCAAAATGTCTGAGTCGGAATCAACCATTTGTTCTCTCTTTGTAGTCTTGAAAGCGTCAAGAAGTTGTGCGGCTGTTGTGACATTGCCATGCGCATAGTATATATGACCGTCCAAATCTGTTATAGTTAGTCTGAGATTGTATCCTTTCTTATTTCCGTCTTGTATGGCAGCAAGTACACCCATGAAGCCTTCTTTGTTCTTTCCTTCGTCAAAGTTTACTGTAAAGGTTCGACCTGAACCAATTTGACTTCTAACTTCACGATACTTTTCATATGCATATCTTGTTCTTTCCATGGGAGCATGTGCGTCTTCACCTTTTCCTTTTTTCCTTCTCAAAGGATGCAATTGTTCGTCATGTTTCCAGTAGAATCTGGCAAAGCCGTCGTGTCCTTCAACTTGAGGTTCACTAACATCGAAAGGCATGTCCATAAGACGTTCTTCTTCTAACCTCTCTAGTCTGTTTGGATAATTGGCGCGCGCGGTTTCTAAGTCCATTTCGTAGGTCAGACCAGCCAGTTTGTCATAGACTTTTATGGGTCTTCCCTTCCTATATTTAAACTTCTTCGAAACTCTCCAACCATATCTTTGCAACTCTGCTTTTATTCTAGCAGATTTTCTATCCATTCTATACGGAGGCATTTTTATAAAAATAAAAAAATATATTTTAAAATGGTATGCCATATAGCTTCTTGAATTTGTTAAGATGTATTTGAACGTATTTTCCATCTGTATCTCTAGCGTTTACATGAGCATAGCCCGCCTTAGTAAAACATACTTGTAATTTCCTATAGTTTACGCCGGTATAAAAGTAGAAAGAGTCTTGTTCTTCGCTATAGTAGTAAAACTCAAACGTATGCTCGCCATAGTCTGTAATTTCAATTGCTTCATCTTCTAGTTCGTCGACAAATTCGAATACAATATCTCGAAATTTGCCTATGTTCTTATTGTTTTCAGAACAAGTGACCCAACGCAAGTTTTCAAGTCTATTGTCGTTTCTTATATGGTTTATATGGTCTACAAAAGGTAAATTGTTAGGGTTCGGTATAAAATGAGTTGCAATGACAACATGTTTAAAATAGTTTTTTCCACTCATCTTCATATTAGCATATCCGTCATTTCGCTCCCATCCGCTTAAAACTCTTTTTGTCTTTTTGTTTCTGACTTCAAATGACTCACAACAGTGAATTTCATATTTCTCATCTAACAAACAAGTTTCCCAACGGTCTGTTCCAACAAACTCAGCGTACATTTCAAATAAAATAAAAAAATATTTTTTTTGAAAAATGTTTTTTCCTTTACTTAACATAACCACCAGCTACCATAAGTCTTTGACGCCAACCCATACCAGCTAATGAAGGTTGACTTGGTTTAGTATTGAAACTAAACTTTGGTTTTGGTTTATCTTCAGTTTTTGGCTCCCCTTCTTCTATTGGTTTTTCGTCACTTTTCGGTTCCTCTGGTTTTACCTCACTTGCAGGTATGGTTGTGTCGTCAACATCTTCATAAATATCATATGCCATTTGTTTTTGTTTTCCTTTCAACTTTTTGTGTTTGTTGTAAAGTTTAGAATATTTCGACTCTAAGTCAATGAGATGTTCTATAATGAACTGTTGATCGGTGAAGTAAACTTTTCCATCTGTTGTCTCGAAAGCTCCTTCAGACTTCAATATTTTATTTGTGAGAGTCTGTTTCTTTTTTGAGATACTAGCCGTTCCATTTCTATGAAAAGTGACTTTATAGTTAGGGTTTGTATTTCCAGACCTGGCACTTTCTATTATTGAATTTTTCTCTTCATCTGTAAGTTCTTTGACAGGTTTTGACAATGGTTCTGAACTTTTTGTTTGTGGTGTCAAATCTACCGTTTCAACTTCTTCGGTCATTTCATCTCAGTAAAAAATTTTAGTTTGGTTTGTTTTCAACTGGTTGTTGTTGTTTTTTAAGTCGGTCTAAAACTTCCTGAGGTATAGGAAGAACTTGACAAACACGTTGTGTAACTGCTGGAAGTCGACAAATCCATCTTGAGCCCATTTGTCTCAATGCTGTATTGTTCATTTCATCTCAGTAAAAAACTTTACATTCCCCAAGTTTGAGGTGGTTGCGGTTGGTTATTGTTTACCCACTGTTGTGCATGGTTATATCCTCTGTTAAAGAATCTTTCACCTTGGTCCATATAGTGCCCTGCTTGGTTATAGTAGTCATTTGCTTTGTTATAGTAGTTTCCTGCTTGTCTGGAAACATTATCCATCCATCCTTGAACTTTTCCTCTTGTTTCAGGATTTGGAATAAGATTTGTTGCATCTCGTGCTACATCCCAACCTTTCTGTACAGTTTGTATAATAGGTTGTGCTTTCTCTTTCAGTATACCTAATGTACTCAAAATCTTCCTTCCAACTCCAAATACACCTCTGGCTATTGTTCCCACTGCGGGTAAAAATCTGGATGCAACTCCTGCTAATGCGCCAAATAAACCCATTTCTTATAGGATAAAAATGACGAATCCAAACAAGGACCCCTATGTTTCTAAGGCAACAAAAAAAGCACTCATGATAAAAATCTTTAGTTCAACACCAAATGCTTGGTTTATGGATATCTTGGAAAACATTCCGAGAGTTAGAACAGATGGACCTCCATACTGGCTAATATTTGTTGGTCAAAACACAAGATACTGTGAAGCCATACCATTATGGTCCAAAAATATTTTAGATGTGAAAACTGCTTTGACAATCTTCGTTGACAAATACCATCCAACAAAACTGACATCTGACTGTGAAAGTTCTTTCAAATCAGACGATATTAAAAACTATCTGCGTTCAAAAAATGTAAACCAATATTTCATTGTCGACCAAAACCATTCTGCTCTTGGTGTCATTGACAGTTGTATAAAAATCTTAAGAGACTTAAACCAACCACAGGGTGGTGAGGTAGATGAAATGTCATATGACGACAAGTATAGGCACTTCTCCATGGCAAAGATGAGACAAGTTTTAAATATTTACAATAGCCGTAAACAAAAAGGTTTGGGAAACCACTCCCCGCGAAATGAAAAACACCCCGACTTAGAGAAAGACTATATATTTAATAGTTTTAGTCAAAAGAGACAAACAAGAAAGAATGCCAGGCTTCAAACTTAAGAAAGGTGACAAAGTAAAAATAGAAATACCTAAACGCGACCCATATGAAAATACTATTGACTATGACAAGGGAACTCGACAGGTACTCGCATTCGTGTTCGTAAAAATAGAAGAAAGTATACAAGAGAATATTATGAAGGCAAACATGGCAAAATGTACAGACTGCAAGCAGAAGATAAAACTACTATTGTCAGACCTCGTTTCAAACTTGTTAAGGTTCAAGGTGGTATACTTTCAAAGACTGTTCCTAACAAATATAAGACAACTCCTGACGAATATGCTAAAGAAGTTGAAAATGACGACTAAGCATTTCTATACCATGCGTAAACTGTCATGTAAGGTGGCATGTAGTCTTTACTTTGTCCCGTTGTTTGCGTATATCCTGAAACGCGATGTGTATGGTTTCCTCCTCCCTCAGTGTTACTCCAGTAACAATCTATAGCAAACTTAACGTTGTCTTTAACATCATATCCTTTACCTTTTGTCATTGATGACCAATCCCAATATCTATGCTTATGCCAACCTGCTTGAGATGTACTTAAATCTATGTAGTGACTGTGTGCAGGTAGGTTTTCACCTGAAATCGTTTTACTTCCACCTGTTTCCTTTGAAGAGTTTGCACAATACAAAAACCTGTCGACTATTTGAGTCCAAGTTCCGAGACCAAGTACTACTTCTGGTCTGGTAGAGTTCATTGACGTGTAAATAGAACCTATAGGATATAGTGTTTGAAGTATTTCTGTCTTTAACGTTTGAAGCTCTGTTTTGTCAGCTTTTTTATCTAACTCATCGTTAACATATGTTTTGTCTGCTTTCTTATCATATAAATCTTGAGCAGTGAATTTAACATTGTTTTCATCCTCCATGACATAGACATTTCTACATCTAGTGTATTTCATCGTCGTTATGTCTTCATCCGATGTTAAACCTTGTGGAAAGTTAGGAGGTTTCCAATTTAATACATCCCCACCAGTTCCATCAGGTTCTTCAACCGTTCCTGCAATATTTTCTATACCAACAGTTGCGAAGAAATCGTGTGTATGTCCAACGTCACTTTTCTTGTTTAAGGTTTCTTGTAAGTTTGTAATATTTGCAATGGTATGTGTATGAGTCTTTTTAGAATATTCGTTTTCAGCTCTTGTCACTTCACTTGACATTTTATTGTCAACATATGTTTTGTCTGCTAGTTCAGGATGAGTATGTTCTTTTGTTGCATATGTTGCATCTGCTCTGTCATGTTCTTCTTGAACTTTTTCAATGACATACTCTTTGTCAGCTTTGTTGTCAACATCTGCTTTCAAAAGAAGTTCATCTATAGGTTTCTCGTTTAAAGTTCTTTTTGTTGGATTTATACAAACAGTATGGTTCTTGTTGTCTTGAAACAGAAACTCGTCTGTCATTGGGTTTATCGTCAGTTTTAAGTTTCCTTCTTTCAATGACTCAGATATCTTAGAATAGTTTGAAAAGTTTGTTGTGTTCTTATTTAGAGCTTGCAAAATGAGTTGTCGGTTGTGTTTTATTTCTCTCATAGACGCTGTTTCATTTGACATTTTTATTCTAGATAAAATATGCTTTCAATAGAAAAAGAAAATTCAAGAGTTGCTACAACTAAACCATTAGATGAACTTTTTACGAATGTCGGTCAAAAGTTTGAGACAGAGACCGTAAAGCATGAAGGCTATCGTTTTGACTACCCACTAAGATGGCTAAGAGACCCATCCGTCACAAAAGCTATTGGCTTTCGTAGAATGAAGTTCATTTCAGAAGCCATACATGGTTTCCCATTTACGGTCGCTTTTGAAATTCGATACTATAACAAAGAAAAACATACGTATGAGAAATTTGAACAGGGAAAACTTTTACAAGTGAATTTGCTTGTAAACTTAGAAACAACTCTTCAAGCTTTTCAAGAAAAAATAAACGATATCTATCTCGAATATGCAAAACAGTACAACATTGACGAAGGAGAGTACCATCTCGATATTATATATGACAGGAAAAATGCAACTGTTAAAATCAATAGAATAGAAGACCTTGGAGAAGACGTTTATATTTCTACAAAATATAACAACTTGGCATGGTATAGATTTTTGAGGATGTTAAATCAGCCTGCAGAATATCCAGTACACCCGAACTTTTATGAAGTCGAAAACCCTAATGGAACATATGAAAATGTTTTCGACTCAGATGCTATTATAGTTCATGCTTCATTTTCTGGTGCACAAAACTCTTTTTTATGCTTGGCAAATGACTTTTACGAAAAACCTACAAAGCTATATGAACCACCGAGTGGAAGTATTTCAGACTTTCAAGTATGGTTTACTACAGATGGAAGAAAGAGAATAGTTCCATTATACCATGCGTTTTACTTAGAACTTAGTTTCATATACAACTACTATCGAACGGTAAAAATATAATCTTTTAATACGGTTGAGGTGTTGGATTTGGTTGCCAACTAGACTGTGGTGCAGGTTCAGGTTGTTGTATAACAGGAGCTTGTTCTTCTGGTTCAGGGTCTTTAGGTATAATACCAACGAACTGACCTACTCTTTTGCCAATATTTTTGACTCCGTTCCAAATTCCTCTTCCGACAGATTTTATTCCATTCCATATACCTCTTCCAACATTTCGAAAGAAGTTTCCTATTCTTCCAAAGAAACCCATTTTACTATATGTAAAAATCTAATGTCCACCTAGTCTCTTACGTTTCCTTCTGAGTTCCATTGCATTCTTTAACTGGAGCTCATACATTCTGTTTCTCCTCTGGTAGAAAACATATTCTGGGTCAACTCCTGTGTTCGCGTCATCTGCATAAAGTTGTTTATATCCCACTTCAGGGTTTGTATAAAACTCTTTCCATCTCATATTTGCATACCATGGTGGCAAACCTAACGCAGCGTCATTTGACATGGCAGTTTGCATTTGTACATCTGTTGGCACTTGACCATAGTTTGCCATTGCAGTTTGTATTCTAACTTCATTTGGAATATTCTCTGGGTTTGGTTGTCCAGGTTGCTGTGCATTCGCTAAGTTCTGTGCGTCCATTTAATATTAGATAAAAATATCTCTTACGAGTACATATGCTGAACATTTGCAGGCATTGGTTCATCTTCATATTCTCTATATCTTTCTGCCACGTCAAATAAGTAAATGACACAATGGAAAAAACCTAAAACAAGTAGTCCTATTTCAAACCACATTTACTTACTAGTAAAATTTCTTTGTTATGACACTTTCTCCGGTTTATAGGACCTCTCTCATATTCTATCTTGTCATATATAAACTCATAGTCATGTATGTCCTCTAACCATCTCATGACACTTTCCAAACCACTTTTATCGGATGTAAAGTAAAAGCATGGATGGTTATGTAAAACGTCTAAAGTTTCTAAAGAGTCTCTCAAAGTCCAGTCTACTTGGTATTGAAAATCCCATGTGTTATAGAACGGCGGGTCCACTATAAAGAAAACATTTTCCTTGTCTTTATTTTTCATACAACTCTGTCCAATGACATCTCACAAACTCTATACCCTCAATATATTTTTCTATGTTCTCTTTGAAAACATTTGTATAGTTAAGATATAAAACTTTTGACATAAGTGTTTCAATGTCATGAACTCTTATAGCACCACTATATAATAGTCTAGCAGATATACTATCCCAGTCAATATACTCTGCCTTTTTCAAACCTCTCTGACAGTATTTTTCTTATCTAATGGTATACGTTCCATCTTACCTATAGGTATCTTTTCTTTTAACTCTTTCAATATTTTGTTTGTGTCTGGTATATGTTTGAGACGGTTCATATAGTTGTCGAAGTCATTGCATATAATCTTTGAGTCAGGAATATTGTATGGCACAAATGAGATATATAGAAACTTCCACCGAACAAGTCTACAAATGTTAGACCATTCGGTAGTTTCTTAAGTTCTCTCAATAGAATATCTTTACATCTACTCTTATTTCCAAAGAAGGGTAACGGTGGTTTTGTAAAATTCATTTTATATATATAATAAAAATGTTTTTTCCTGAAAAGTGACAGAAAAGTGACGGGGGGCTAGAGGGCACGAAGTGCCTGGAAGCCCCGCTAAAATATATTTTAGGGTAGAAGGGTATATCTAACCTCTTTTCTAACCTCTTTTCTACCCTCTTGAATTTTCATGAATTTCTTCGTAAAGACTTTGTTAAGACTTCTTCGTAAAGACTTTGTTGAGACTTCTTCGTAAAGACTTTGTTGAGATTTCTTCGTAAATGACCCTAGTAGTATATTTTTGGTGTAAATTTCATGAAAATTCAAGAGGGTAGAAAAGAGGTTAGAAAAGAGGTTAGATATACCCTTCTACCCTAAAATATATTTTTGGTGTAAATTTCATGAAAATTCAAGAGGGTAGAAAAGAGGTTAGAAAAGAGGTTAGATATACCCTTCTACCCTAAAATATATTTTTGGTGTAAATTTCATGAAAATTCAAGAGGGTAGAAAAGAGGTTAGAAAAGAGGTTAGATATACCCTTCTACCCTAAAATATATTTTTGGTGTAAATTTCATGAAAATTCAAGAGGGTAGAAAAGAGGTTAGAAAAGAGGTTAGATATACCCTTCTACCCTAAAATATATTTTTGGTGTAAATTTCATGAAAATTCTGAGTAAAATGACAGATGTTTATATGACACTTTCTCCGGTTTATAGGACCTCTCTCATATTCTAAACATCTTCGGGGCTAGAGGGCACGAAGTGCCTGGAAGCCCCACTACCTTTTTTTTTTTTTTTTTTTTTTTTTTTTTTTTTTTTTTTTTTTTTTCAATATGACATTGGATACAAAAGGATCAAAGAATCATATTTCGAAAAAGTCGAAAGATTTACATTCAACGATGCTTTCAAAATTTTCAATCAACAACATTTGTTTACATTTCACAGGCATCAGAAAATCGACGAACATCCACATGAATACGTTGCTCAATATGTTAATCAATTGTGGCATACTGATTTGAAATTTCTGAAGGACGATAACGGTAACCTTCAATATTTAATTTCATTTCTTGATGACAGAAGCAGATACATTATTTGCTGGGATGTTTTTGATACAAAAGAAATGAAAAATACTGCCAGAGTATTTCGTCACGCAATTGATTTAGTCAAATTAGTTCCACATGGAATTCTCACAGATAATGGAACAGAATTCATTGGAAAAGATTTTGAAGCGGTTTGCCAAGAATTCAATATAAAACATTTCAAAACTCATCCGTACTCTCCAGAGGAAAATGGAAAAATTGAAAGGAGTTGGGAGACTCTTTTCAAGACAAACCCTGGAGTGAACGTCTTTGAGTTCATCCCCAATGTTGTTTCCCAGTATAATAGGGTATGGAAACACTCCGCATTATTCAAACTCTTTGGGGAGAAATTGACTCCATTTGAGGCCTGGGAAAGAGGCCCCAAATGGACAAAAGATCTCTGCGCTGAACCAGGCTTCGAAAAAAATCTTAGAGATTAACAAATAATTTCAAAAACAAGAAAATTCAAAAAATCACAAAAAGGAAGTTAAGGAATAAACACTTACATTTATTACATTTGGATTTTTTTAAATTCAGTATTATTTTTAGAAATAAGATAATATAGTTCTAAATAAAACAAAGAATGTTAAGAATGAAGAAGGAATTAGCGGATGCAGCCGAAGCACGCTCACAAATTACTCTCAATATCCACTCAAATCATACAAAGTTTTGTCGAATAGTTTGATATAAAGACAAAAAATTTACAATTTTTAATTAAATCCGAACAATCTTACATATGCAGCTGAAGCACACTCACAAATTACTCTCAATATCCACTCAAATCATACAAAGTTTTGTCGAATAGTTTGATATAAAGACAAAAAATTTACAATTTTTAATTAAATCCGAACAATCTTACATATGCAGCTGAAGCACACTCACAAATTACTCTCAATATCCACTCAAATCATACAAAGTTTTGTCGAATAGTTTGATATAAAGACAAAAAATTTACAATTTTTAATTAAATCCGAACAATCTTACATATGCAGCTGAAGCACACTCACAAATTACTCTCAATATCCACTCAAATCATACAAAGTTTTGTCGAATAGTTTGATATAAAGACAAAAAATTTACAATTTTTAATTAAATCCGAACAATCTTACATATGCAGCTGAAGCACACTCACAAATTACTCTCAATATCCACTCAAATCATACAAAGTTTTATATTTTCATTTTATTGTTTCTTAATAAAGAATTTACTTTAATATTCTTAATTGTTTTCTTTTTTATATTTAATTTTTGATATCTATTTTAAAAAACTTATACAAATTCGAGTCAGCTAATAATTTAATTGAAAAAATAAAAAGAAAACATATAATTTTTAATCCGTCTAATTGAATAAGCAATATTATAAATATTATGTTAAACGGTTAATTTTTTCTCAAAAAAAATTATTTCGAATTTCCGAAATTTTTGACATTTTGGCTGAGAACTATGGTCTGCGAGGTACATAGATAGAATCAGTACCTCGCAGACTATAGTTCTCTATATGGCGCCGAAAATTTTTTGGTGAAATGTCGTCGCATTTCACCAAAAATTTTTCGGCGCCATAGGAAGAATTGGAGGGTGTGAGATACTATTACATGCTATAGTACTCACACCCTCCAACTCCCAATCAAAATCGCATAAAATTTGCTACTTATCTTCAGATTACCTCCCATTATAAAATATATCATTGCTATCTCATCGTACTATATTTCCACCCTATTGTATTTAAAAATATAAAATTTTTTGAAATATATTTTTATATCTTGAATTTTCAAACAATATATTCACAGATAATATAATGGGAAATCTATCTCAACCTAGCCTTAAAGTACCAAACTCCTGCTTGCATTCTCACTCACAAATATTAAACATCCATCTCCAAAAAACTAAATTCTTCACAATTTTTTTAAAATTGAGAACATAAAAAACGTATGCATTCAATAATTTAAGATACTAACAAATATTAAAAACTTCAAAATATCAGATATTAACGTTTTTCAATTAAAAAAAATATCATTTTGCTTTTCAATTCGAACATAAATCTTAAATATTTTTAATTAATATCTGATTTACAGCATTATTATCCATTTATAAATCTGACAAATAAATGATAAAACCATCATAAATAATGTCACTTTTTGTCAAAAGTGAAGTCACGCTATTTTTCATGCACAACACGTTTCCATTGTTTTGTTTGACCACAGGGAAAGGCCCAGTGGTCATGTATCACAGCAAGAGCTTTGATTTGGTCGTAGGGATTGACCCTACGACCTTTCTTGCCTTTAGGCAATGGGATATTCTGTAAGCTAAATTGATTTTGTAAAAAAGATTTTGAAACATCTAAATATTTGAAATCATTTGATTGAAGGGTTGGGGCGATGGGAACATGGGTGCAAGCTTCTTCCCATGTCATTTTACCTTCTTCAATCTGATTGGAAATACCAATTAGGTAAATTCGATCGACATACCCTTTGTAAGGATTCATTCTAATGAAGTACGTTAACAATCAAAATATTCTATAAGTGTCTAGTATGGAATTCAAAAGAATAAAGAAAATGGTAACGTAAATAAACGTATTATGAAATAATTTATAAATAAAATGAAAAAAAGAAAAAATAATAAGTAAAGTGACTGGAAATGAAAATGAAAATCAGTGCACAGTTTTATTTTTTTCTCGCTATGAAACGTATTCGGTCATTTTTTTAAAAATTAATTTTTTGTTAGAGATAAGAGCTAAAACTCGGTAAACAACTTCTTTATGTCTAGAAAATTCTATCTTGCCTTTTATTTTTTTCTCGCTGTGAAACGTATTCGGTCATTTTTTTAAAAATTAATTTTTTGTTAGAGATAAGAGCTAAAACTCGGTAAACAACTTCTTTATGTCTAGAAATTCTATCTTGCCGTTTATTTTTTTCTCGCTGTGAAACGTATTCGGTCATTTTTTTAAAAATTAATTTTTTGTTAGAGATAAGAGCTAAAACTTTGCAGACAACTCCCCCATGTCTAGCAAATTTAACATTCGTCTCCCATTTTTATATATTTGGTTTAGAAGGTTCGAAAATGCGTAATATGGTCATTAATATTAATTGAAAAGAACCTTGAATTAATTCAATCTGATCTCACAAAATATTTTAAATTCCAAACTTTGTAGTTTGAATAGATAATTAGTATTAAACTCAAATAACTAGTTTATTTTTGAATAAAAATTATTTGAATTTATTCAATTTTGTGAATTTTCCTTCAAAAATCAAGTTTAAATATCTTATTTGCCATATAATTATAAATACAATGAAACATATTCGAAATTGAAAAGAATGACTTTTTCTGTTCTTTCAATCATTCAATTTGAATTTTGCAATATTGGATTTCTCATTAAATAGCTATTAAAAACAACAAGCAATTTAACTTACATTCAAATTTATTTGTGTTATATTCAATCTTCTCAAAACTAATAATTTTCGGCTATAGCATGATTATATGCTATATAATATAATAAACCTATAATAGTATCATTCTTTCAATTATTTGAAGAGAAAACCGAAAAAATCTATTTTCGGTCTATAACAAAAAAATTCAGATTCACGGGTCAAATATTACATGATGTTTTAATTCCATTGATATTCTCCTAAAAAATTTACAACACGAATTCAATTAAAATAACTGCTGTTTTTGAATGATTTTCATTTTCAAATGCCAAATCTGCCACCGAGCTAAAAATAAATTTCTGTACCTTTTCCTGTGTTTACTTGGATTATTGAATTTTAAACCATCAAAAAATTTGAATGCCATGGCAAAGTTCAAATCGTCAGATAAAGAAAAGTGATTCAACTATGAAATACCAACGAAAGATTCGACTTTTATAAAAATTTCAATTGAATCCATTTGAAATTAAAAATAAGAATCAATGGAAACAAAGTGTGCCGTCAATCAAGAGCAATCTGAAATAAAGCCATTTACATGCATTGTAGGGCATAAAAAAGAGCGCATGACAAAAGTGCATAGGACAGCAAAGCTTCAATTATATCGTTTGTCCTATGTTCCCCAATATCAACAAGTTTATTATCAGCCGGTTCAAGTACAATATGTCCCTCCTAAAAAAGAGATCAAGCAATTTTCTTTGCCAAAAAAATTATCCATAGAGTTTCTCTTAAAAGAACCTCTCAAGCCAAAGCAAAATTCATTCAATATTGTTAATTCTGGGCGCATCCCGTCTTTAATGTTCAACTCAGATATTCCTTGTTTTGCAAATGAAATACAAAATTAAGAAGAATGATATTTCATCTTTATTGGAGAGATATTGTTAACTTTTTAATATAAAATACTGTTTATATTTATTCAAACCTTGAATAATTTTTCTTATTTCTGAAAGTCAAAAATAAATATGAATGCCACAGAGCCATACTACTAAATTATGAAGTTTGTGATGTGCATATGCTAATATTTATATTATTTTTTGATGAATCCTCTCATAATTATCAATATTGAATTTCAAATTTTATGAATATCAAAGAAAACCGAGTAAAAATCTATTTTTTCGGAATATCTTTTAAATAAAAATGGTTTATATTTTCCAAATTTTTAACAAAATTCCGTTTTTATCTCGAAATTTGTAATTTTTCAGGGGGCACCCGTATGTACGTTTATTTGAGAGGAGGAGGATTACCCTCTCAATTTTGAGGGATTCGTTAGTTTATTTTCTCGATGAATATGCAATAAAATTTGATTTTTACCTTATCAATATACTTCATATAATATACACATGTTCATGTAAAAACTTTTTTCCAAAATCCTCAGGAATTAAGGGATTTTTGAATTTTAAGAATTTTTTTCGAATTTTTTCGAAAAAAAAAATATTTTCAGAACAGCCTTAACGGCTAAGATTTAGGAACAATGTTAAGTATCAAAAAGAAAGGAGGTCTGATATAGACAACATATATCGTTGAAGGTTGAAAAAATCTCTAATATTTGAGCCCAAAATTTCAAATTTTAATTTTTTGAAAAAAGAGGCCACCCGTATGTACGTTTATTTGAGAGGAGGAGGATTATATTTTTGAAAGGGTGAATGTAATAAACAGAAATTCATCAAAAGTGACATCTCTCAATTTTTTGACATTTGTAAATTCTAAATTGAATGAGAAAAATGAAATAATACTAAGCATAATACAATATTCTAGATTTAATTATAATTAGGAAAAAGTTAGTTTTGAGAGTACTTTTCATAGGCATATAGAATGAAATCTTCTGAAAAATAATATCACATAAACTCATATTATTTTCTAATATATAACTATTTTATATAAAAATCAAATTCAATGATCTTAAAAGCGAAGGATAAACCTCAAAATTTACGAATATAATGAGTGGGAATATAATGCTTATCTATCATAAAACCATATGAAATATCAATTTTTGCTTTACGCCTAATTTTTGACGACAATTAGCAAAAAATGTTAAATGTTAACACTCAGTCCATTTGAATATGAAAAATAAAATTGACTTTGATTAAATGTTTTTATTTATCATGCAATTCTTCTTGCGACCAAAGATTTGAATAAAATTTCAAAAAATAAGATAGCTTAAAAAATAATATACGGTAGTGTTTACTAATAGATGAATAGTATATAAATTCTATTAAAATGGATTTGATCCAAAAAATATATAAAATTTGATCATAAATAAAATCGTTTTAAATTACTTCTTCATTTAAATTATAACAATTATTTTTGGTTTTATATTTTTTGGATCAAATCCATTTTAATAGAATTTATATACTATTCATCTATTAGTAAACACTACCGTATATTATTTTTTAAGCTATCTTATTTTTTGAAATTTTATTCAAATCTTTGGCCGCAAGAAGAATTGCATGATAAATAAAAACATTTAATCAAAGTCAATTTTATTTTTCATATTCAAATGGACTGAGTGTTAACATTTAACATTTTTGCTAATTGTCGTCAAAAATTAGGCGTAAAGCAAAAATTGATATTTCATATGGTTTTATGATAGATAAGCATTATATTCCCACTCATTATATTCGTAAATTTTGAGGTTTATCCTTCGCTTTTAAGATCATTGAATTTGATTTTTATATAAAATAGTTATATATTAGAAAATAATATGAGTTTATGTGATATTATTTTCAGAAGATTTTGTGTTCTTCTTCAAAATTTTATTTTTTTTATTAAAAAGAATCTTTACAAAATATACATTTACTTTAATTAATATTTAAAAACGTGCTCTATCAAAAGTTCCAAAAATTCAATATTTTAGCTTTTCTGAGGTGTCACTTTTGATGAATTTCTGTTTACAACAGAAACATTATGAATATGTTAATTATATAATAATATGTATTATTATAAAAAAGAAAAAATAAAGCACGTTAAAATTTTTCTTTCTTGATTTTTTACAAAATCTACTTAGAATTATGCAAAATATGACTAAATAATTATAAATTTCAAGTTAAATTTTAATTTTGATAAATAATTTAAATTTCAAAATATCAAGTTCAGTTCGACTATGTATGTAGTAATTCCTCAATAAAGTGCCAAAACCCTATTAAAATATATGAACATTTTCAACATTTTAATGTTTTTATTTAAAAATTTGATGGAATATGAGCTTCAAACAATTATTATGTAAATAAAAATAATTAAATATATGTATTTATTCGTATTACAACCGTAGTAAGTCGATTCTTCCTTTCTTCTACTGAGATTTGAATTTGATTTCGAATTGTAAAGAGATTCAAAGGGAAAATACTCGCGGATAAAAACTACCTCCATGAAAGGGTCATAATGGAGTCAAGTTGTATTTTTTGATATTTTTTGCTTTTCGAGCCTAAATAAGGTAGGCCAAGATAATGCCTAAAAATAAGGTTCTAAATTCTGAAGTTTACATGATCCTCTCGTGTGCACCCTTAAAGTCATTTTCTTTTTTTTCAATTTTTTTTGGAATTAAAAATGTACATATTCAGCAATTCCACACGTCAAAATCATTATTATTCTATTAGTGAATTATAACTCACACGGTTTAATGATAATATTTCACAAAATTTCGATTTTTATTCAGTATTAAGAAGAGTCAAGATGAGTGATTAAGAGGGGACTACCCAAGAAAATAAAGATGGGTTAGAGGAAATTTAGAGCTTTACAAAGAATAATATTTCAAAAATACAACAATTTTATTGCGGATTTATATAAGTAATTCCGACATAGACTTCTTCTCGAACTTCTGTAGAACTGGGTATATCCAGTTTGATCCTGCTGTAAGGTCATCCTCGGATTTTGCAGTAAGAACAATACTTCCTGATTGGAAGATGAGCATTGTGCATTGAGGGTCTGTAAGCCTGTAAATCAAACCAGCGAATTTTTCTGGTCTATATTGACAAAATAGTTTGTGGCCATCAGCACTGGCTATTTGTGCAATAGCGATGTTGAATGGTGTATGTATTGTAGCAACAATTGATGATATAGTAATATTGACGAGCTTGACATCATATCCAATCTGCTGAAGCATCTTTCTAAACTTGTGAGCAGCACGCTTAGCATCCTCAACAGAACGGCAACCAACAATGTTGATTTTGCCATTTGAGAATACTAATCCTGTAGCCTTTGGGTCACGAATACGAATAACTACGGCTTTAATTCTCTTTGGCTTGTATTCAGCATTACGAATTGTAGAGGCAATACTGACAAGATTGAGTTTATTGCAAGAATATTGTGCAAGAGCGATAACATTAACAACTTTTGGTTTTAATGATGTTATATCTTCTGTTGTTGATACTGTGATATCAGCATCATTCTCTAATTCTTTATACCATTTCATAGATTCTGAATCATCAAGATTCATTTCTTTCACACCGCCATCAGCATCAAGAAACTCGCAGCATCCATGGCCTTTGAGAAAAAATTGGAAAAAATTTTTGCTGTGAACAATTCAAACTTGAAACAACAGAACCTCACATTATAAACATCAATAAGACTTCTTTCTTTTTCTTTTCTTTCATCAAAATTTAATGACTGAAATTATTATCCCTCCTCCAAAGATTATCGAGCTTATTGACAAAGTTATACCCGCGATTATTAAACATGGCAGTAAGTTCGAGCAAGCTCTTTTGGAGAAGAAAATGGATCAATTTGATTTTGTAAAAGAAGATCATCCTTTTCATGCATTTTACTTACAAAGATTAGAAGAACAAAAGAACAAAAAGCAGGAAGAAGTCAAAGTACAACAACAATTTCAAGCCCCAACAGTACCAAAACTTCAAACACCTCAAATTCAGCCAACAATCATACCACCATCATTTTCTTACAAGCCACCACCTGAAATTGGAAGTTTACAACTCGATGCTATTTTACTTGCCGCTCAATACACTGCATTATACGGAAAAGAATTTTTACAAGTTTTATTCAAAGAACAACAAGATGTTGCTCTTTTTGACTTCTTAAAACCAGGAAAGCCATATTTTGCACTTTTCTCTACCATGGTTGAACAATATCGACTCGCATTAAGTCCTTCTCAGAAGTTACAGCGCAGACTTGAATCCGAGGCTGCTTCTTTACAGGTAGTTCGAGCAAATCTCATTGCAGAAAAAGATAATCAGAAACAAATTATGGAAGAAAAGAAAAAAGAGGAAGAAGCGAACAAAGCTGATGAAGAAAACTCTCTCTACGATTGGTCTACATTTAAGATCGTCCAAACTATAGATTACGATGACCAACCTGCACCTGTTTCTCAACAAGTTCCTCAAAAAGACCAAGTCAGAAAAACTCTTAAATCTGAACAGAAAATCATGCAAATTTCTCCAATTACAGGCCAAGAAGTACCAATTGAAGAGTTCGGAAAACATCTTAAATACGAGCGTCAGCACCCACAGTACTTGAAAGACGTAGAAATGATGAAAGAAAGAAAAGAAAGAGCGTACGATTCTTTGGCTTCTGGATCGCAAATTGCTCAGAACTTAAAGGACTTTGCGAATGCTGATAACGAGCCAAAACCTCAACACAAGTACATATGGGATGGAAGACAAGAGACAATACAACAAGCTGTGGCCCAGAAAATAAGAGAACTCGATGAGGAACCAAAACCAAGACCTGAATTAAAGAAGAAGAGACCAGTCATAGGACCTAGCCCTTCTAAATAATTAATTCAACGATTAGTGATGATAATTCTTACTATAGTTTTATCATATTATTGTTTTGTAATGTTTGATATAAATTATTCTTGTTATTTATACAACCAACTCATTATTTAATATCATCATCTTAAATTCTATATGATTTCAATAAATTGTACTGAATACATTCTTTTGGATAATATCAAATCTCTAATTAAGAAGAAGAACAATCAGAAAAATCTTTGATATTAGTATTTATTGCTGAAAACTCATTGACACTATCAAAAATACATGGATTATCATCTTACATTTGATCTTAATATTGATAAATTTCACGGATAAGATCGATTTCGCCCGTGAACCTAATAATGACTTCTTTTATTGATTGTTTTTCAATTTAATAGTTAATGGTATTTATCATTATCCATGACAGGCTCATATTAATAATTCAATAAAAATTTCATCAGATATTTTGATACACCCCATTAAACAAGGTATGCTCAGAAAAAACAGTTCATATTTATGAGAATTTATCATAATGAAATAATTTTTAACAAACATTTAAGATAATATATCACTTTCTAGGGTAAGGAGACCATCTAATACTCTTCGGATCAAGCTTGATAAGTCTCTTTCTTTCTTTTTCTCTCCATTGCCTTACTTGCTCTTTAGTGGCGCCGAAAACCCATTGAGATCTGTCATCAACTTTGACAAGGTAGCCACCTTTTCTGGCACCAGTCATTACATCAGCTTCTGTCATTCCTGTCATTGCCGAAATTGATGCGACAGAGAGTTTCTCTCCTTCATGTTCAACAATGCATTTAAGAACAGCAGCTTTCCAGTAGCTGGAGTAAGCCATAAGACCGAGATCACTCAATGGAGTTTCGGGACCACCTGTTCTTTTTTCGATTTTTGATAATTCGTAAGAAAGTTGTATTAAAAATCTACCAACACCAGTTTTCTGGTAAGCTGGAAATGAAAGGATGCAGGAAAGGTTATTCTGACATTCTGCTCTCTTTTCCTTGGAAAAGAAGCCGCATGGATGAGCACCACGAGTATCATTAAAGCACATAACGTAGAAAAGGAACTCATCTGTTCCATAATAAGCACTTTTATGGAAGAGGAAGAACTTTGTGATTAAGCAAAGATTAGTGCACCAACGAGAAGCAACACCTCCATCTATTTCATAAGCGGAAATGTGTCCATGACGGTAAATTTCATCACCTGGAGGATGTGTCCATTTACATCTTGAACAGTGATCTTCGTATTCATCGAGAGTCGAGAAAAATCTTAAACAAAATTCGCAGCAATAAAGAGTTTCTAGATCAAAGTATGGTTCAGGAACTGGTGAAAAATACCAACATTTATAGTGATAATCACCCATCCTTAAATACTCTATATTACGCGAATTTCCGAGGAATTTTAGATCTTCTTCAATCTTTTGGGCATCACTTGATTTGGGTTTGTTTGCTTGCTTCTTTTGCAGTGATTTCATGTCGATTTTGTCAATTGTTACCCAATCATCAAATCTTTTATTAATATTATTAAAGTGTATGAAGTATTTGCGAGTTCCATCTGAAAAGGTTTTGATTTTAAGAATTTCTGCATTCATGTATTGATTTTCAGATTCATTCCAGACGTCTGCAGTGTCACCAGTTTCGATACTCATTTTTAATTTTTTTTGATTTAATGCTGGAATATTGAATGATATGGAATAATGAAGATAATTTTATTTTTTTGTTGTAAAATATTTGTCGTAAAATTTTTTCACTCTCAAAAATTGAAAGCAAAATGGCGGGTTATTAAAAAATCATTCTTACTTCGTATTGAAAAGCCGATATGCATTCATTCAAACACAATGTGAACTAACGAGGTTTTATTAAGAGTCTGATGAAAGGTTTATCCATTTTGGATTTCAATTGTCTAAAGATTTTTTAAAAATGTTTATTTTAATTAAAGCAATGATTATTATTTACACTATTCGTTTTGCACAAGTCAGACTATGCAGTTCATGTCATATTGCACAGTAACTTTGTGATTTGGTAGATAAATTAAAGGTGACCAAACTATTTTTTGAAAGTCCGCCATAACTTTAATGGTACTATTTCAGCGTGTACAATGAATACAAAAATTCTAAGAGTGCCACATAAAATAGTACTTTAGACTTGAGTTAATGCTACCAAGCAAATGTTAAAAAGATGACTTTAGTGTTTTGATAATCAAAGATTAAAATCATTATTGTCTAAATCAATAATCATAACGACAGAAGTTAATGTTTTTTCATCAGTGCTTTAAATCCACTTTTAAAAGTATACCTCAAAAATCAAAATATCAAAAAAAATTGGCCGATAGGTTTGGCTTTAATTTTTGTCTGCTTTTATGATTTGATATGGATGTTATAATTTTAAAAGTTGAGCCAAATTCACCAATAGATTTTTGAGATTTGCAAATACTCAATAATTTTCAGCGTGTTATCTTTTATTAAAAGAACTATTTGGTTTCAGTATCATATAAATTGATATTTACTTTCTATTTGAACCTTCATTTAGCTAATGATTTAATAATACAGATTTCATCTAGTCCTTATAAGAGAATTTTGAATTTGTTATAATAAAAAAACAAACAGATATAGCTTACACTTCTATAATAAAGATACCTTTTATAGAAATCAGTATGAAATGTGTTTTGGCTTATTGGAAGCATATCAGACATAATCGCCATAATCAAAAAATCTATATACCCAATAAGTAATAAATTTGTCGATATAGATTTTCCATAAAATTAGTTTTTAGTCTGATCTTAAAATAAATTTAATTTTTTATAAAAAAAATCACATTTAAAAGTACCTTTTTAGTAGCTCGAAATCCTGTTGGTGGATTTCGGGCGTACTTCAAAATTAGCTTTTCTTCTACATATGCAAGCTATATTTTAAATATGGAGCAAATCGGATCGGCGAAAGGAGTTTAGTTACCTTTGATAAATTCGTTTCATAATTTGGTTGAGATCGCTTAAATCAGAGGAATAGTCTTGGACGACAATAAAAGAATATTCACCATTGCTTTATAGTCATTTGAAGCATATATAAATAATTTTCCATCAAACAAGAATTAAGAAATCAAAAACATAGTTCGATATTCAACTAAATTTTTAATACAAGAACAAATTATAAAGTTTAATTAATATTAGTGTATTTCATCAAAATAGATTGTATTTTCTTCGTCTTTGCATACTCATATGCAGTCTTATTTGTAACATCTCTAGCGTTTTTATCTAGTTTGTTGAATTTAACAAGTCTTTCAACGTAATCTGGATTTTCGTTGTTAATAGCTGCAATATGAAGCGGGGTTCTTTTATCTCTATCAACCATATTGAGAATTTGGTCAACACCAGGGTGTTCTATAAAAGTATTGAACATCTCTAAATTCTTTGTTGAAATCATGATATGTAAAGCAGTTCTTCCTAATTCATCTTGCTGCTTAATGACATCCGGCTTTTCTTCTAGCAGGAATTCGATAAATTTGTAGTCCTTTTTGTTGAGGACCAAATATAAGAAAAGTGTCAAACCTTTTTCACTTTTTGCGTCAATATCATAATCATCCTTTTTTACAATCTCCTTAAATTCCTCGAAATTTTGGTTGTCACCTGCTGTGAAAGCTGCTGTCTTCGATTTGTTGTCTTGTATGTTGACATCAATCGTTGGATTTTCAAGAAGACGAATTAGAAGGGTTGTTCTTCTTAATGCAGCAGCGAGGTGCAACATCGTCAAGCCCTCCTTATTTTGGTCGTTTACGTCGTACTCAGGCATTATTTTTTCCAATTCATCAAGAGATTTTTCTTTTCCTTTCAAAATACAATAATGGAATGGCGAATTTCCTAAATTATCCTTAATCGCTAACAATTTCTCGATATTACCTTTCCTTGCAATTTTTCTGAGGGTCGTGAAATCTTCTTTTTCTACAATTAAATGCATAACCGTTCTACCATCTTTCATTTGAGCTTCCAAGTCTACCCTTTCGTCTTTGAGCAACCTGTCTATGATTTGTACTCTCTTATTTTCAATTGCATGGAAAAGTGCCGTTTTTTTCTGAGAATCCTGGAGATTTACATTTACATCTGGATGCTGAAGAATTTCAATCATAATATCCAGCCTATCGTTGATTGCTGCCAAATGAATTGGACCTTGTAGCTGATTATTTTGATTTTGAGCATTAATCTGCTTTTTATTTAATTTTATAAGTGCCTTGAACTCTGTTAAGTTGTTTTTCCTGATAGCTCTCTCAAGACTATAATCTAATGGAATTATTTCATCTTGAACGAACTGTTTTGGATGTTTTTGAATATCTTCTGACTCTTTTCTCAACTCGTTCGGGTTTAAAATGGGCTTTTTACGTGCTGGAGGCTTTGGAGGAAAATCTTCTTTTTCTTCAACGGTATTGTAGTCGTCATCTTCGTGAATTACCTTGTTCTGTATCGGAATATTCGAGTCGTCCTTGTAAACATCTGCCATTTTCGCTTCTGTGTCAGATTCTGATTCAGATATTGATTCAAATTGAGTTTGAACAGTTTGCTCTTGAATTGCTCTGTCCTCAAGCTGTTGCTGTAGATTATAAATCGTATCTAACAAAGGATAGTTAAATTTCGCTCTGTCAATTTTTTGCAAAGTTTCTAAATTCATTTGTAGTATTGCTTGGCATCTTTTAACTTCAGGCATGCTTTCTAGTACATCGTTGATATTATCTGCATATAAGTTGATATCTTTTGGATCAATTTGATTCTTATATTTTTCATTTAAATCTTCTAGTTCTCTTTGTTCAGAATAGAGACCACTATTGGAACAAGCATCAATTAGACATGGATAAAATATGCTTGCTTCTAAGTCTTTCGCAAATTTAATAATTTGTATTAATTGTTCTTTAGAAACATGTGTTTCTTTATTGTACATCAATTCAAGAAATTTCTTAAACGATTCTTTATCAGATATAGTTCCAATATGTATGGGATCTTCGATGTATTTGCCAATAAATTCGTTTCTAAGCTTGTGTGAGGCGTAGAATAAATTAAAAGGGGCAAGCTTGTAAGAAGTGACACGTCCTCCTTCTTCTTGCTGTACTTTAATTGCAATATCATTTATAAATTCTGGAGATTTTAGAACAATCATTGATATAAAATTTAGTGTCACTTTTCTTCCGCAGCAAAATTTAGAAGAAAAAGAAAAGCTCAATGCTCATGCAATAAGTTTCACTTATAGTTTTTCACCATATTTTCTTGTAAATCTCAAATTTTTGCTTTTATCTAAGATATCACGATCCAAATTTAGCTAATATCTTGTGAAAATGAGTACACATGCATTTAAGCAAGTTTTCAATAATATTCCCATTACCTCGCTTAGCCATTAATCGGATTTAAAATTTGTAATGATTTATCATTGATAATATGTATAATACTATCCAATGAATGTATCATACACATGATCTTTGGTTAATTAAAAGCCTATTGAGGTAAAATTTAAATAAAATCTCTCTATCATTCATTCAGGGAGAGACTTCGAATGAATTTGGCTTTATTTGACTATTACTACTATTGTTTGATCCTAACATTAACTCCCGACAATATCAACACTGATTGTGGAGATATTTTTGAGTGTTATAGCTCAATAAGTTATTGAAGTTTCTATTATCTCAAGTAAGGTTCAATTTTTATCCATATTATCAACAATTTCAGTGAATCTTTAAGCTTAATGTGCTAAATTCTTACATCTAATTAAATTACAATTAGGAGAAACTCCTTGATTATTAAAGCACACTGATGAGAATCGTCTAGTTCAAGTCGTTCATGAGATAAGAGTATAACTAATCATTACAAATCACCTTAACTCTTGCGTTTACATAACGCATTTTATATCACATGACTGTAAATTTTTTAGGTGTTTTTCAAGAAAAATTAAAGGGGGAGGTTTTTTGTGATATGGAAAAATGTTAGTTGCTCAATTATCTCACTATTGGATGGACTTTTATCGAGCGAAATTTTGGCTGTAAAGACAATTCTGATATTGGTAACATGGTGATAAGAACAAATAGTCAGTTTGCATGGTTTATGATGAGATAATTTCGATTTAAAAAAAAATATAAAAATTGATTTTAATGAGCGATTATATTTGAATATGCTCTCCTAATTTGAAGGAACTGGTTAAATCATGAATTGATCATGAATAATTTTTTTTCAAAATAACAATTATAATTTCATATTCATTATAAGTTGAAAATATATCATAAAGACTTTATGAATGATAAATTCCTAAAAAACAAGTTAGTTTGTTTCTGAAAATAATAATAATAAAAACCAATTTAGACCCAATAATTTTTGGCGGGATAATTGAGATGTTTAACAAAAACTGAAAGGTGTCATTATTATCTATGACCAACAAGCAACTGACCTAGTCTGGATTACAATATTCGGTTCATCAAACCGCCAATTTGATGAATCAAGCCAAATTGTAACTGACCTAGTCTGGATTACAATATTCGGTTCATCAAACCGCCAATTTGATGAATCAAGCCAAATTGTAACAAACCAGTTGTTGATTGCATGGTATTATTCATCGAACTGCCAATTTGATGAATTACATTTCTTAGTCATCAAAATAGTGGTCATGTTGTAAACGAAAACGATAAAAACGGCTTGACAGTAAAGTGATACTTTACATGGCAAAAAATAGAGCCTTACTTTTGAGATACTTGAGATTGAAACTGAATCTTATGAGGCGGTGATCTTGAATCACTACCTCATAAGGTTCAGTTTCATATAAAATTTGTTGCAATTTGTTATTCTTTTGCAATTATTTCTTATAAGATTTTACATCTTTTAGCGGGGAATGTTTGTTATCATGTATATATTATAAATATCTACACGATAACGAACATTCCTCGCTAAATTGCTGAGAAACTTTGAGGAAATGTCGAACAATTTCCTCAAAGTTTCTCAGATTTATATAGATCACTAGAGTCCCCTAGGCACTGATTCTGGTTCAGTACCTAGGAGGCTCTAGTTCTCTAACGAACTGATAAAATGTTTTTAAATTTTTGGATATTGCTACCTGTGAAGCACTGACTTCAAGTCAGTACCTCACAGGTAGCAATTACATTGAAAGATGGGAGAAACTTTGTCCGAATGTTAAACTATTCGGACAAAGTTTCTCCATTTGTAGTGGAGATGGAAGGCTTTGAGGTATATTATATTAATATATACCCCAAAGTCTTCCATCTCCACTTGAAAGTTCCAAAACTTTGGGTTAATAGTTTGCAATTAACCCAAAGTTTTGGAACTTTCTAGAAGGAATTGCAGGGTAAGAGGTACATATCATACTATGTACCTCTTACCCTCCAATCCTCCTTCCTTAACATAAACAAATTTGGAGTTAATTGTTTGCAATTAACTCCGGGTTTGTTGACCTCCAAATGAAAATGAAAGGGTAAGAGGTATATAGTGACCCTATATGCCTCTTACCCTTTCATTCTCATTAATTATGGGAGAAACTTTGGCCGAATGTTAAATTATTCGACCAAAGTTTCTCCCATTTTTTGAAGGGATTGGAGGCTATGAGATACTGATGCAATGTCAGTACCTCATGGCCTCCAATTCCATCCTGAAACTGATCAAAGTGGACCTTACATGCATTTGAAATTTGCCATGTAAAGTCCACTTTTTGAGAGAGAGGATTTGACTGCGTCAAATTCTCTTTTTCGTTTACGAGAGTCATGTTACTATTCGTTAGGTTAAATTACTTTTAATGCCCATTCAAGGAAGTACATGTCAGTTACAGGGTTTATAGTTTTACTCGAATTGAGTAAACCTCTTGGAAGCAATTACCACAAGAGCCAAGACTTCTCGTTTACAGACTTTGAAAGCCAGGAAGGAGCCAGGTAACAATAATGGGCTCTCTTATGATATTTTGGGATATTTATCAACAATTTGAGTTTCTACCTATTGTCTTCAATGAGGATTTTTTAGGCCAGAAGTACAATACCTGTACAGTCTAACTACTAGGGCAATGTAGTCAAACTGTGCACGTATTGAACTTCTAAGGCTATTATTTATCTGCTATTGACATCATTCTTTTACATTACCGTCCTCTGGTCCTTAGAGGACCATAGATTCTGAAATTACTTGTGCAGAGCAAAGTTCTTCCGAGATCTCTCTATCCTTCGTAGATCTCGGAAAAACTTTGCCTTAAACTACTGCATTAATGTTTCCTAGTATTCAAAGAGCTATGAATTCTATAGTTGATCTTATAAGGTAGAGTTTTCCTAACTTTCTCATTCGTTGAAAGGTTTTCAACAAAGCTATACCTTAAAAATCTGTGCTTGTTATATCTGATCATTTGTGTGTTAGGGAGGTAAATTTATTCCACTAGAGCAAATTTTTTCCGAGGTTTCTCATCGAATGAGAAACCTCGGAACAACTCTTCAATAGTGTAATGAATTTGTGGTATTTGTCCTGCAAACAGCGAGAGAACTTGTCTGTAATTCGTTTATGATGAAGTTATCTGGATGTCTCTCAGATGAGGAAGGAAGTCCAGAAAACTTCACCATAAGTTAATACTTGTGTATTTCTATGACTCTCTTCACGTCAGAGAATGTAAATTTACTCGAATAGGGCAAAGTTCTGCTCAAGTTTCTCATTTGATGAGAAACCTCGGAAGAACTTTGCCCTAAGGTAATGTATATGTGATTGTTGGCCCGCAGAGAAACAAGGAATCTGTTTGTATTTCGTTTATGGTGAAGTTCTCGGATGTTCTCTCAAATTATATGGAAAATCAAGATAACTTCACCATAATTTGTTGTAGTTGTGATTCTCTGGCTCTTTGCCGGCCAGAAAACTAGAAAATATTTTATAGTGGGAGTATGCTCGATGAATACCTACTCACTAAAAATATACTTATTTTTTGTTTTCCTATGGGAAAATAGTTTTGATTTTTATACTATCGTATGCTTTGTTATTGCAAATTGTCTATTTTCTTAATAAAAACTCATTTTTCCGTGTGATTCTGAATCAATGCATTCCAAAAAAGCGTTTTCCGCCTTTGAAACGTGAAAACACACATTGCATGAAGAATCAGAGAAGATTTTCTATCTTTCAATTTTTTAACTTATTGAAATTGATAATAACTCCAAATTAAGCTGATAAACTCATAGAGCACATAAAATAACACATGCCTATCATATTTGAATTTTCTAAAAATCTCCAAAAAAATCGCGTTTTAAAAAATTTCGTAGTTAAAAAAGTAAATTTTTCACGAAAAACTATAATTGGTTTTTTTTGGAATTCTTCGAGTTAGAAAACCTTCTCTGATTCTTCATGCAATGTGTTTTTCACGTTTCAAAGGCGGAAAACGCTTTTTTGGAATGCATTGATTCAGAATCACACGGAAAAATGAGTTTTTATTAAGAAAATAGACAATTCATGCAATAACAAAGCATACGATAGTATAAAAATCAAAACTATTTTCCCATAGGAAAACAAAAAATAACGTATATTTTTAGTGAGTAGGTATTCATCGAGCATACTCCCACTATAAACTATTTTCTAGTTTTCTGGCCGGCAAAGAGCCAGAATCACAACTACAACAAATTATGGTGAAGTTATCTTGATTTTCCATATAATTTGAGAGAACATCCGAGAACTTCACCATAAACGAAATACAAACAGATTCCTTGTTTCTCTGCGGCCAACAATCACATATACATTACCTTAGGGCAAAGTTCTTCCGAGGTTTCTCATCAAATGAGAAACTTGAGCAGAACTTTGCCCTATTCGAGTAAATTTACATTCTCTGACGTGAAGAGAGTCATAGAAATACACAAGTATTAACTTATGGTGAAGTTTTCTGGACTTCCTTCCTCATCTGAGAGACATCCAGATAACTTCATCATAAACGAATTACAGACAAGTTCTCTCGCTGTTTGCAGGACAAATACCACAAATTCATTACACTATTGAAGAGTTGTTCCGAGTTTCTCATTCGATGAGAAACCTCGGAAAAAATTTGCTCTAGTGGAATAAATTTACCTCCCTAACACACAAATGATCAGATATAACAAGCACAGATTTTTAAGGTATAGCTTTGTTGAAAACCTTTCAAATAAAGAGAAATTTAAGGAG